ACCTCGATTCCAGTAGTAAATCCTTTGAATTTCAAAAAAAAAAATGCCAATTGCAAGTGTTCGAATTTCTAAAGGGTTGAAGGTCATTCATAGGTAGTATATCTATCCTATTCCTCACGAAATGACAATTAAAGAATTTTTTGTAAAACTTACAACTGAAGAATTATCTTTAGATTGTAATATAGATATAATAAATCCTGAGGCAATAGAACGTGTTGAGATAAGCAAGGCACAGGATACGACGGCAACTCAAGTCAGTATCAATTATAATATCATAGAAGTTACAACAAGTGTAGAAATATATGTGCATTATCGGCTCAAAACAGAAAATCCAAATTTTAATTCAGAACAGTAACGAAATATATTCACAATTCTAATGCAAAATGCACGTCAAACTCAGCTATATTTTTCAACCTTTGTACAATCAGAAAAATCGAATCGTAAACAAAAATTGCTCAGTGATATTATTGAATGGATTCGAAATCGTGGTGGAGGATAGTCTACTCAGTCATATACTAATACACAAGGAAAACAATTTGTTACTAGTTTGACTGAAGTTATTTGGTATATTGATATGCGTGATCACCAGAAATTCGAAGATCGTAGTTATCACATACCTGAGCTTTTTCTTGAGTTTTTTGGCCGCACATATCCAGAATCATATAAGCAATTACGAAAATCCTTTGACGCAAACGAATTATATTTACATTGTCAAGCTCTTGCTCCATATGCTACTTCGTCATAGATGCTAAAAGATAATTTTAATTGGCTTTGTGATGCATTTGATAAATTTATAGTTACTATTTCTAACTATATAGAGTTTTTGTACAAACAACGGGACATCACTGCTATAAATCTAGCATCAGAAACCCCTATACGAACTGTTGATCAGGCTACAACAGTTCAAATCCATAAGCATAATATTTGGGTAACGCCTGTGGATAAAACCAAATATTATCAGCTTGAACAGTTACTTAATAATATACCATTGTGGAAGCCAGTCGATCTTGAAGAATTTCTTCCAGCCAATCCTGTGTATGTAAAAATAATATTGTGACATTTGATGCTAAAGTTTTTTTTTTTTTAATTATCTCTAGTAAGAAACAATATAACATAAATTAATGCTTAAATTTGAATCTGTTATAAAATAAAATTTTAAATATTTAGTTTTTGTTATAATTGTTAATATAAAATAATGTTAATATAAAAAACTAAAAAACCAGTTTTTATTTTTATTTTTTGATATAGACAAAGAATGCGCTACATACAAGGTTTATCTCATACATTTTCTTTTAAAGTCGGAGAGTATCGGTTCAACACAGGAAATAATGCTTTTAATGCAATCTCAATATGAAAAATCGATAAACAAGTTAGTAAAGAAGAGACTTTACAACAAAATAAATGAATCATAAGCGAATTGCAAGAAGATGCCCCTCGTTATCATACAAGAGCCATGTGAATAAACTATATACGTTCTTGTGATTTGCTTCTTCCAAAAGCCAAGCCATCATCACTCAGAACAATCTATCAAATGCTAACCGGTGATGCCTCTGCAGCTGATACTACAAATCAAGCTAAAGTCGATAAGCGAGTTAGAACTGCTTTAGATCTTGAAGACCCAGAGATTGCCATTGATTTACGTGAACATAATACTGGAAGACCAGGTAAATATGATGCCTTCTGGGAAATTGCGGCTCAATTTCTTGAAGGAAAAGCAGCTGATGCTGTGACTGCTGTAGATGAACGTAGGCATGATCCAATCATTCACCTTGCAACTGCAATATCTGTAAATGATCTTTTGCATCAAATTAAGAAAGAATGCCCACCTGAAACAGCAATCTTTAGTGTTCAATGGTTACGGTTACAGTTTTGGCCAAAAAATCCAACACGGCTCAGTAGTTTACAGTTTACCGATCATTTATCTTTAAAATTCATGATTCAAACACGTCAACTCTGTGCTTTCCATCCAAACATTCATTATGCATCTGCACTATTTCGCTATGAGAAAGAATTTGTTGTAAAATTTTGTGAAATTACAAATTTTATCTTTATAGACGATAAGCATCGCTGCAAGGTTGGAGAACCAGGATTTCCTGTTGCTGCGGTTGAGAGAGGAAAAAAAGTTGTAGTCAATAGAAATACTACGTTTGCAGTTGCTGACTATGATTATACTAAAACGGGTATTATACCAAGTGTAACAATGATATGTAATATACCTGAATCCATAAATAGTGATTTCTATGCGGGAAAAGTATGCATCGGTTTAAAGGACCCAATTTTTCAACCTTCTTCTCCTCTCTGCCACGCAACAGAATTATACAACATATTTCTTACTGAAAAACTTACAGATAAACCTATATTATGTCTTTATACAAATGGTGGTCCAGACTATCGCTATACATATACCCGTGTTTAGCTATTATATATTTGTCTTTTTCTTGCTTTAGATCTTGATTATTTTGTTGCTGTTCGAACTCCTCCACAACATTCATGGAAAA